GAGCGGAGAGCCAAAGCGTATGTCATAGTCAAATAAAGAATAGCAATGGGCAAGTTAATAGCCCAGCTATGACCATGTGCTATGTGCATGTCTATTTTTGTATGAGATTTATTCTGTGCATCATTAGTAAATGTAATGTAACTGTCCAAAATCCTATATAGGTCCCACGGCTGGAGTCCTCCTCGGTACATAGGGTATTAGGTTACATAGTCCTAGGTGAATACTTAGTCCACCATCCAATCTTATAAATATTTTTTTTATTCTTTCAGAAACATGCAGTCTTCTTTGCTGAGCCCGCAATAAGTCACTATGTATTTATTTATTTATTTATTTATTTACTATCGAAGACTAACGGGAACAAAAGACAAAATAAAAATTAACATACAGTGTGCAGATATTTACAGCTGCTCCCATAACTAATTTCTCACTGAGAACAAATTTTGTTAATAGTCGGTAGCCAACTTACATTATGTACATTACACATAACATTATGTTGATCTTTTCTAAGCAAGATTCATCGAATACTTTCTACCACCCTACATTTCTTTCACTCAATTCTTTGCAGTACAATTATGGACCATTCCCTGGAATAAGTGTCCAGTAAACTTACAATGACATCTCATTATCCATTTTAAACATATTATTAACGAATTACTAACAATAACGCGAATAGTACGAGTAAGTTGTCGTATATTAACAGTGAAGCTTTCAGATCTCACTTAAACATCGATAATTGAGCAGTTTTCCGTATTCGTACTTATTACAAAAGAGGACACTGAGTTTGTTGACTTGTCACCTACTAACGGAGCACAAAAGAAATCGAGTATCGAAAGTAATTGAAAACGAATCGACATAGTTCATGTACACCGTCCTTCATTTGAGTATATTCAACACAAAAACGTAATAAAATCTTAAAACACGCAATATCCTTACCCTTTGGTGGACCTGATGTCACTTTTTTTTCAATCTGACGATTAAAACAACCAATCAATCAAACAAAACACAACATATAAACAAAAAATTCCAATGTGAGCAACAGGTAATGAAACAAAACAACCAGTGGGAAGAAATACAAGCCCTGTAAAAAACTGGAAATCTACTATCAACACAAAGACGAGAAATAACATTACTAAAAATATCGTACAATTAAATTATCAAATTATTATCGACAAGGACACGAACATCACTACAAAGCAGTACCGTACGCCTATCGACACGGGAAGCGCATCACCAAAAAGCAATTTTTATAGCGACCCTCGGAGGGGCCTTGATAAATATTTATCAAGTAGGTAGCAACATTACTTTTCATGCCTAATGATTCCTAATTCAATTACATTTGAGGGTGCATATCTGCGTGTGGAGATTATTCTGTATCACATTTCTGTTCCCTCCCTGCTGTTTGGTTAAGTTTATCAAAATCAACTGCCAAGTTGCTTGGATGTAATGATCATAAATAAGCTGCCAGCTTGTTTGCACTTTTAGAACACAATGGGTAATGTTTCATAAAGTGAGATAGACAATGGTATCTATCTTTCTTTGATGATATTACCTCGCATATTGATAATAACATATTTTTTTTGTTTTTTAGCAATAGAACTTCAAATGCTAAAAAACAATGTAGATAAAGGACGTTAAGATTTTCTTCGGTGTGTCAATCGGCGTTTAGCTTAGTGGCTTAAGCGTCAGGCCGCGAATGTCGAAGACGTGGGTTCGATTCCCACAGCGCCGAAGATCTTTTCTACAAATTTGAAATATCATCTCTCAGGTTCACTAAAGGCCTGTCCAGAGAGGAACTGGCAAGAAACTGCGGTCTTGTTCTACCTTTTTTTTTAATTTCTTAGTATAAGTATATTATTGTGATCAATTGATCATGTGGACGATCCTCTGGTCAATCACTAATGAGCCCATATTTATACCGACTTTTGAATTTTTTATGTGGAAAAATCACTGCGCCTTTTTTGTGCCGACAATTACAGCGACTATCGTACCAGATGCAAATTTGGGAATGGAGTGAAACAAATAACTAAACCGGTTAAATTGCTTGGTGTTAACATAATTAAACAATAAAGACGGGAGGACTTGTTTGTTTGCTTTCTATCGACTGTTCTTGCAAATCAGGAATCGAACCCTAACGTCGAACAATTGAGGCCTATCACTTCGGTTCGGTTTAAAGAATTTATTTCCCAAAAGAACATTACATAGTTCACTTAGATGAGAAACTTAACTAAATTATTTACAATAAAACAAAGAGAGAAAAGTTATAAACAAGGCGGAGTTCGATCTGCCGTAGCTATAAAGTTATAAGTTATTAATTAAGTATGTCATCAAAGTATTTTTAAAGGCATTAATGGATACAGATTCTTTTACATTTTTCGGTAATTTATTATATAGTTGAGCTCCCTCATACTGTATATTTTTCTTTCCGTACATAGTTCTGATCATAGGTAGTTCTATGTTATCTCTGTTCCGAGTATAGTAATGGTGAGTTTTATGTTTAAATGTAATTTGTGAGTGCGTGTGTTTATTTAGTATCTTTCTTATTAATGTGCATGTGTGGTAGGTATAAAGTTTGTTTAGGTTTAGTAATTTAGTTTTTTTATAAATGTCTTTGGTCGGTGTTAAATGTTTAAAGTTAAATAGTTGTTTGATTATTTTATTTTGTGTGACTTGCAAGTCCTGTAGATTGGTAGAAGCAGCCTGCCCAGAAACCTGAATAAGATATTCCAGGTGCGGTTTGGCTAAGGTGTTATATATTGTATGACGCAGTTTAAATGGTATGCATTTTGAAATATTTCGCAAAGCTCCGGTTAATGAAAGTAATTTTGATTTCACTTAGCAACTGTATCAGCACGATTGACATAATAATTCATTTAATAAAATCAGAATTAGTCTCGCCAATCAGCCGACACAGTGTCAGAGAAGGGGCATGATTGTTTGTATCAACGGCTCTACATTTATTACACTAGGGCTACGCCTCCCTTATCTGGTACACCCCCGCGGGTGCAGTTATCAAATTATTCGCCCTTCCACTTCATTATTCGCCCTCCTTACGGGGCAGCGCAGTGGAGCATCGACTGTGTGATTTATCACGCCGCAATAGAGTTCTTTATGGCGCTTACAACCCCAAAGATCTGCGGTAAACACTGGCATTATTCTTAAGTGTATTTAAGAAAAAACATACTAGGGTTGGTATAGAAGTTTATTACTTAAGCTTACACTCTAAGTTTGAGTCCGGACGCTCGCCTTTAATTCAATATACTCGAGCACCTTACCTGAGTTCGATCCCCGGTGCCGGCACCAATGAAGTTTTTGACTTTAAGTGCTGACTTATCACGTGCTCCGCGGTGAAGGAAAACATCGTGAGGAAACCTGCATATTTTCGAAATAATAACAAAAAAACAATTTCGAAGATATGTGACGTTCGCCAATCCGCAGTGGGCCCGCGTGGTGGACTATGCCCTGATACCCTCTGTATAGAGGAGGCCTTGGCCCAGCAGTGGGACATGTATAGGCTGTTACTTTACACTCTAAGTTTAATAAGAATATGGATTCTTTGTTTTAAGAAATTCCTTAACACTTTTTGACACCTCTTATCGATAACCACCGCCTATTAACATTAGCTACACCCGTAGGTTTAAAGATGCGTCGCCACCTTTTCAGTGGGCCCCGGCTACCTTATCCACTAGACTAAAAGCAGAAAGAAGTATAACTACACACCACACTTCACGCCGGTCTTCTATGAGGTCGTGATACTTAACGCCCTGTTAACATTGGGACCTGCCCATTCGTGCAATAGCGAAGACCGTTGCGGCGCCTTACCAGAGTTTTTATCTAACGTAATGCTTTAAATAGTTTAGAATACATTTTTATTGTTAGAATACATGAAAATGTTTTCTATTTGAACGTTCTCGTGTCGGAAGCAGTTATTAATTTTAGGTTCACGAAACGTCTTGTAGCAAATAGGAAACAATGTTTCCAAAGCTTCAATATTGAATACGTGGTCGTTGATTTAGACAAGATATATAATTTTTAAATTCATAAACATTGTAAAAATTATCCAATTTTACTGTATGTACCAACGTAGAAAATAGTTTATAATTACAGTATGTTCTACATACACAGAACACCCCTTGTTGCCTTTAAACTAAATTTTGTACTAGTGTTATGTTGCTAGGATGAGTACAAGGTTTGTGATCTAAAGAACCACTACCTAAATTTGCAAAATTCTTTCACTATTTCAAAGATATTTAAGAGATATATAGAGGCATAGGTGGTACGATCACATACATAGAGTATACTAGGTCTGGTGAAAGTGGTTAATCATTAAAGTTGAACGAAAGTTAAGTAGGTACATGTAGTAAGTTTGCTCTCCTTGAGCAATAAAAATATCATCAATATAACATCTGTCTATAATCTAGTATCCACGGATGAGACCATAAATATTCTTAGCTTACCAATCAATGATTTTTAGTGTTAAATTTAAAAAAAAAACATATGAAAGTCATCTCCTTGAGGAAAAAAAAGTAGTATCAGCCTATACATGTCCCACTGTTGGGCAAAGGCTTACTCTGTACAGAGGGTATTAGGGCATAGTCCACCACGCGGCCCCACTGCGGATGGCGGACTTCACATATCTTCGATATATTTTTTTTGTTATTTCGGAAATATGCATGTTTCCTCACGATGTTTTACTTCACCGCTGAGCACGTGATAATTCGGCACTTAAAATTAACAATTTCATTGGTGCCGGCACCGGAGGCCGAACTCAGGTTGCTCGAGTATATTGAATTAAAGGTGGGCGCCCGGACACTGAGGTATCACGGCTTTACATTAATATTGAGAAAAAGATCTGTAAAAATTCAATCTGACACAGATGGAGTTGGGGTGAGTCGCTAGTCAATAATTGTAGTTGCCATCGCCACTTACTATCAGGTGGGATGGCAGTCAAGTGCTGGCCAGTTCTGAATTTAAAAAAAAGAAAAAAAGTTGCATGCTAACTAGGCGCCTTCTGGTTTAACGAAGCGGCCGACGCAGGCGAGTGCGTCACATTCTGCGGTTAACATTACTCTATTAGCCGTATGAAACGTTGTTGAGCATTAACGCACGCACGACGCTAGTTTGCCAACTAACGCGAAGCGATAGCGAGCCGTGGGTCAAGTAGAGCAAGCCTTAGGAATAAGGCCCGCGTCCATAGACACGCACGAGCTTTTAGGGTTCCGTACCCAAAGGGTAAAACGGGACCCTTGTACAATTAACTTGTACCTACTTGAATAATTAAGAACAATCATGTTTGGTTAAGTCCATCTTCTTAAAACATTTCATTTCAGTTGAACTTTTTAGAACAGTAACAGTAAATATTTTGCTTTAAAAAATTGTAGAGGAACTCTTCGATAACTACCGAAAGTTCAGATTAGAGAACTGAAATGAACTCACCCGAACTCGGTCGATCGCTGTACCGCGTACAGTACACCCACGCCGGCCACACCATGGGCCCGTTCTCGCCAACGGTCGTACCTTAACATCATAAGACCGATATGAAGACAAATCAATCAAAAGCATCATAAATATATCAACATAAAAAAAGAATAAAACAAGTCAACAATTAAAAGAACTACAGAACCCGACTACGGTAGGAAAGAATTTTTTTTGAAAACGTACATTTTGGCGTCAAATATCAACCATTTTCATTTATAGTCAAAAAGTACCCAGTGACGCTCGTGCAAAAGATATATCATTCATCAAAATTAGCCATTTAATAGTTTGGGAATAGAGGAACAGACACAGCGTGTGTATTTTAAGTGTGACCTCCTTTTCAAGAAACAATTTACGGATATTAAGTCAGTATACTTACTTGTGGTACTACTCTGATTGCTGGAACCGTCGTCACTTTTAGATAGGTCGATCGCGCCTTTGTCTGAAGGCTTCACTTCGGGCACTCTTGTCTCCAGCACTTCCGGTTTAGACGGCAGCAGAACCTCCTTAGCGGGCGCCTTAGCCTCGAAAGACCTGGACTTCAGATTCTTCCTCTTGTTCAATGGATCCGTGATCCGCCTGCCGAAATCGGCCTTCAGTATATTGTCGATGCTGAACTTGAGACAGTTCTGATTGATGAAATCCCGCCCCGACTCGTTTTCTGGCGATTTCGGCGTCGCGTAGTTGTAGCGTCTGCCCTCGTCGCCCCTAAGGCGCTCTTGCGTCGGACTCTTCATCCGCAGACCGAAATTCAGCCCAAAGTTCTGCGGGGCAAGGTGCAAATTGGCCTGCGGCAGTGGCGCCCTGTTCGGCACTGCCGCCTTCAGGTCCACTTGGGCGAGCGGATTTTGGAACAGCAACGGCTGGTTTAGGAACATTAGGGGGTTCGGTGTGACCGGACTGGGGCGCAGGAGCAGTGGCTGGCTCACGCTCAGGTTCTGACTTAGCTGCGATATCGCGTTCAAATGGGTCTGTATGTGCTTGAATGACGACAGGCCCTGTGAAGTCTCGGGGTTGCTCTTATCGCTGTCCTGATAGGTGGAGATGGGTGCTTCGTTGCCAACCGAGAGGACTGTGTCATCGCTGCAGCAAGAATTCTCATCGTCCACGCTTATCTCGGCTCTATACTCGTTTGCATTGGTGTCGTCGTCCTCCAACCTCGGGCTGACGCTCTCTGAGGTCCTGGAGTTTTGCCCGTCGTCGAAATTCGGCGTGTTCTGCAGCAGCTTCTCCGTGGAGAAGACATTCTCAGGGCTGTTGGCGTCCCTCTCTTTCTTCAGGACGTTGTGAATGGAGAAGGGGGAGGTGTGTATCGATCTCTCTTCTTGTTTATCCTCTTCCTGGTACTCGGGGCTGATGGTGTCTCTGGTGTTCGGGGAGTACGGCTCGTGCTCCTCATCGCTGTGCTCCTGGATCTTTATTCTGGTGTCTTGCAAGTGTACGGTAGTGGACACCGCCGCCATATTGACCGCTTTTACGCCATCTGTGCAAAGAAGTGCATTATTAATATCATGTTTGTTGTGAAAGATTGAAGACCCGGGGAGTTATCACTCAAGATTGACGTGACTGAAAGTATTTGTATTTTTCCGTTCCGTGCGATGAGTAGGGTAATGGATGCGTACTTTTTTAAATGTTACATCTGCAACGCAACAGGTGTTGCAGATGTCATGGGCGTCGGCAATCACTTAACTTCAAACGCCCACCCGCTAGCTTTCACAACATCTTACGTAAAAAGCGCAAAATTTTAATTCATAAATACATTAACACTTTCACGACGGGCGAGTGTTTATAAATGTGATCCAGAAAATTTACAGTTTATCCATTAATCTACATTTATACAGTCAAGGTGCGCACTATATACATTCGAATATAATTATGTTCACCTACGACACTACTTATCTTCTTATACTCGTAAAATATACACAATTTACACTATGTGTTTGGAGCATAACAGGCAACGGCTGTAAGCCTAAAAACCTAAAAACATTTTCCTAAATACACTTTTTTCCCATTCAACAAAGCTGGTATTACACAATCGGGATTATATTTTGTTTTTAATATTTAACTCGTCTTGTTTTTAAAAACTAGTGGGGTAGATTGAGATACTCAATACTCATAACCCAAAAATCAATAATTAAACGGTTTTAGCGCATAATTAATCCAAAAACGAATATGGTTCTCAAACTTAGGTCGCAAGAGCCACAATTCCATTAAAAAATTTCCCGCTATAGCAACCCGTATTTACGTTGTTATCTTTTGTCTTTGTAACAAGGTTGACGTTAAAAATAAACAATTAAAAATAACTAAAGTAAAATTCAACTGATAGCCGACAATTCTATATTGTTTTAACAATAAAGATATTTCAACTATCTTTATTGTTAAAACAAAAGCCTTGATAGCCCAGTGAGCGGGCGCTCGTCTTTAATTCAATATACTCGAGCAACCTGTGTTAGATCCCCGGTGCCATTGAAATATTTAATGTTAAGTACATAGTACATTTCCAGTCCAAAGAGAATTTGACTTATCACGTGCTCTTAAAACTACGCCTTGATACCCTCTGTACAGAAAAGGCCTTTGCCCAGCAGTGGCGTGGCACATTTATAGGCTGTTACTTTTTTTATTTTATTGTTAAACGTCTAGTCTTTAAAGCATACTTAAAATTTGATCTGAATCTCTTACTTACAATGCAATCGCAAAAGAGAAATATTCTTATCGCCTTTATCATCTCCTCTATTTTTACTTCCTTAAAGGCCACCGGTATCACCCACTATAGATATCAATGAAAACCTACAGTCCCCATGAATGCCATGACAAGCACTGCCCGTCTAAATAAAGAAAGGTCTAAGATCACTGACACTTAAAGGTTATACAATTAAAGACAACATATGATATACGACACCAAAACTCGTCTTATTTCATAAACGTCGCTTCAAATTAATATTACCAAGTTCAGTGATCAAGGTAGAGTTTAACATGCATTTATTTACTAGCTGATACCCGCGGCTTCGTCTGCGTTGCTTATAATATTAACAACTACACCGATTGCTCCACTTCTCCACGACAAGAACACACATCACTGAACATGTAGTGCTTATAAAAATCGTTGTTTCTTAAAACTTTAATAACTACGTTAAATGAGGATATCAATTTTTTTTTTCAGATAAAATAAGTTTCTAAGATGTAAATAAATAAATATTTTAGAATACATTTTACACAACGTTATCTAGTCGCTTGTTCTAGATAGCTGATATCTTGGTTACTAGATAGCTGATAAACAAACTTAAACATACATTTCTTTTGTTAATAACTACATACTATAAATATTTAAACAAAACCCTGGAAAAACACTATGTTTATAACACAATATTTTTCCAGTATTGTGGATCGAACCCACAACTCTCTGGCGCTAGTGGCAGGTAGCCCGATTGGTAGTGAACCCACTGAGCCAATCGGATTTTAATGTAAGTTAAATTAATTCATTGAAATCAATGCAAACGTACAAAATTAATTAATTGAAATCAATGCAATGTCCCAAACGTAACAATCAGTGAGTGAACATGGGACATTGGTTTCTGTGTGTAAAAAGCGACAAATTATTCCAAACCCGATGGTACGCACGATTCCTACCATGCATACCGTCGAGATTGGATTCAACGACAACAGATTATAAAAAGAAACCGGTAACAATAATGCAGCTCCTGTTATTTATACTTTGCCTTAATAAAAGTACCGCCTTTACCATAAATAAGTACAAAATGTGGTAGGGCCCCGCAATAGTCTTCTCTGTTGCACGAATGGGCAAGGTCCGTCCGGGAAAGTGCCACGACCTCACAGAAGACCGGCATTAAGTAAAAGTATAATATTTCTGCGTTTCGTCTGGCGAGTAAGGCAGCCGGGGTCAACTTTATTAAAAGGTAGCAACGCAAAAGTTAACAACTATGGGCGTCGATGAACACTTACCACCAGTTGGCTGGACTACTCGTTTACCTCTTTTTTTAAAAAAAGTGTTTTAATTAACTAGTTATAGCGTAATGACTCCTTGTATTTAACATTTGCAGACAAAAGTAAGAAAAGTTATTCGCCGCTGTGGTAATTGAACCCACGTCTTCTGGATTCGTGCCCTAACGCTTTAGCCGCTAAGCTAAATAGCCGATTGCCATACCGATTAAATTCTCAACGTCTTTTATCTACATTGTATTTTGGCATTTGAAGCAATGATTGGTGCATTCATTGTTATATCCTTTCCAGCATACAAACAATTTCGAATATTGTTTTTCTGCAATGTTAATGTTTCATGTTAGTGCAGAGATTAGCACTATAAATTAAAAATTGAGATTCCTTGATATAATGTTTACAAGATTAAATCTATCTAAAATTACATATTATCTAATAAACCTAATCCACGTGGCATGGTGCCAGATTCCTTGTATTGTTAAATAAAACTATTTCACGGATTATAAAGCGTTATATTTCGTTTTTTAAGTTTGACACCTTTACAGCAACCATGAGCTGTTTAGGACTTAAACATTTTAAAATTAATTTGACATAATGTAAATTGTATCAGTTTGTTAATTGTGTAGATAGGTTCTAGTTATTAGGTATATATTATTATTGTATTTTTTTAACATTGCCCTTACCTTATGTATGTTCGGGCATAACTTCGTCACATATAAACGGATTGGCAAAATTCTTTTTTTTTCGAAAGGGTTTCATCCCGAAATGGTCCCATATAAATTTTATATAGATCTGATGATGATTTTCGGAGGTAGCAACGGAACTCATCGAGAAATGAAAGGAAATCAACCGCGATTGCTACTATCGCATAAATACGTATTGTTTTGCATGAAACGTTGTAATAGTTTCGTACATAATTTTATTTCAAGTCGGTTCTTTTTTTGTTAAAAAAACATTTTCTTGTATATACATAGAATCTATTCATTTTATGTAAATGAAATCAAAATGCCGTCCCGGCGGATCGATCATATGAGGATGCAAATTTACGGATGATCGGTATTGGGCCGCATAAAACGCAGCATCCCCAATAATTATAACAAGTTAACCGCGATGGTCGAGCGGAGGAAACTGCGGTTGCGGTCACCGGGGAGACAAAACTGGTTGGCGGGTATTGCGGTCGGGAAGTTGCTCTACTTTAATATTACTTAAATATACTCGTGAACAAATACGGAACAAAAGTTACGTATTGCCCTGATAGGGCAGGGAGCTTAGACCTCGCCACCTTCTCTACCTTATAAACACCATTAACCTAAATAGTCTCACTTACATTTATCTATGTTTGTGATTTTTACCATTGACATACCATGAGAAATGTTTACCATTGAAATAGAAAATACTTGTTGACACATGAATCTACAACAACTGAGTGAAATTAGTAAAATTTTATATTATAGACATCCCACTATTGACTTTTTATGACACTTTTAGCAATACTCTCTCCAATAAAAATTTAAAAAAATATAATAAGATAGATCTCGAAGGATAGATAATTGTTGTTTTTTTTTCAATTGTCCATGACGCAACGGTCCTTTTTTTTTTGGAGAAATCAATCCATTGTACATGTTTATGTTTATGTTTCGATTATATATATTTTGTATATGTATATTTTTATTATATATATTATTCAGTTTTTACATGAGCCGTTTTTTTAAATTTCTTATACATTTTACCTTACAAAAAAATAACTTATTACAGTTCATATTTTGACTTCACTAAAAATTGGAATAGAAAGATTTTAATATTTAAAAAAATATTCAAGTAGAGCATACTGTACAGCGATGCGCCGTAGGACCACACACGTAGAGGCGCGCGCGCAGCCAAACCAGACATTTCGTTTAATCTGCCCACAAATTTACAACTTACTGTAAGCACAAGCGACTACAGACCATAAAGCTTCAACGTACGTGTCAAATCCGACGCAAACTTAACGCAGCGCGCATTAAGGACGTAACCAACTTACGCGTCTAATCTCGAACGGCGAATCTCAACCTTATCGCAAACGCGTTAGGGGGCGATTTAGCACAGATATCGTCCCGCACAAGCGGTTAAGTGTAAAGTGTAGCGAAATTGAATTGTTTTATTTTGGTATCACGATTTTGCAATTTCCGAGGTGTTAGCGGTTTGTTATTTATATACTCTGTACCCGATACTGTGGTAAATTATCAATAAGTTATCGATACGTTAGGTTTTATTGAAAATCCGTAGTGGATTATGGGGAAGTCACATCTCAGCAAGTATACGGCGAGGCTTTATTATGAATATAATTGTGCTCTTTACCCTATTTCGACTATCAGATATAACGGAACATCTTCTTCTCCTCATAAATAAAAATGAATATTATGTATATGTTCGTTCGTAAACCGTTCGTAATTCGTCCAATCTTGATGAAGCTAGTGGGAGATATAAAGCTTCTTAGTAACGGCCTTTATGTCCCAATGCTGGGCAAAAG